TGTTTAAATAGATTAAAGCTTAGGACTGCACTTCTTGTCTAAGTAGGCCAGTACTTCATCACAGGACTGGACCTCATGCGTGTCCAGCAGGTTGGGGCTGGATTAGTTGTCCTGGTTTAGCAGAAAAGTTCTGCAGGTCATAGCTTGAGCACGCTAGTGTCTGTTCTCCAAACTTCAAATTTTCATGACTCCCCCTTTCTTTCCCAATGAAATTATAATTATTTATTGTTAAACACAGATATAATCTGACAATTGTTCACCTACTGTGTAGCTGTTGATTTAGTTTTGCACATACTTGTTATACCAGATACGTTTATCCGTCCCACCTATTTTATGTTGAAAAGTCCCTTGTGGATTATTTGTGATTTATTTTTTTTAAAGGAAAATGAGCTATGCAGTTAGGTTGTGCTGTGTAAGTAATTGTCTACCTCCAGCACTTCTCAAGTTTTGATATAATTGGTGTGCAAGTATCTCATGATTTCGGTAAAATATTTTTTATACTGGTCTCTCTGATGTAGTGATTATTCACATTTTGTAGATGAGGAGTTCAGGCAGATAAAGTAACATGTCTGTGTGAGAGCTGGAAATTCATCCTGATTCCTCTAAATCCTTGGCTGGCAGCCCAACCACTTAGACTTCAGTTCCCCTAAGATAAAGGCACCCAAAATGAGTTTTAAGCTGTACTTAAGCCCTCTGACGTGCTGTGAGAAACAATATAGCTTTTGCTGCTTATTCTTCTGTGATTGTGGCATTCTGTTTCAAGGGTCTGCAAAGGGATGAACAGATCTGTCAATTCCTGGTGAAATTCATGTGTTAACTGGAAGGTGCATGTACTGTGCATCTCTCCTTCATGTGCTTCTAAGATAAAATAGGGATTGTGGTGGTAATTTTATAATACATTTGCAACATTGTCTACTTATTCTACATCTAATTCTTTTTTTAACCTTAATGCTGTAGCGATAAAGATTTTGTGAATAAGAAACTGCCTCAAGCAGTTCAGGAACGTGTTCACTCATCCTGCTAAATGTAGGGGGGTGCTTGGTGTTCCTTGGATTGATCTCTGCTACAGCTGTAGCAGTTCCTAAAAATGGACGTGCGGTTTCTCACGTAGTGGCTTACATAATGTTGACAAGGGGGGAAAGTGATACAATTCCTCATTAAAGCCAATGTTGCCCATGTGAGTTCATTACGTACTATCTGTAATGCTATTATGTGACATGATCGGGTTATGAAGAAGCATGGGCTTTATTTTCCTTCACTTGAATTGTGAAAAGCACAAATTTGCTTCATTTAAATAAGAAAATTAATTGTACCCCCCCCAACCATATGCTTCCAATATATGCTTTTTGTACAAACGGTAGTGATGAGTTTAGTTGCTTAAGGCTATGTCACATGGGTCAGCCTGACTGTTTGCTAACCAATGGGAGCGGTACCCAGACACAGCCCCATGTGTGGTGACAAGGATTCGACCTGACAGCTTTACAGTCGTGCAGCACATGGAGGCTTAGAAGACAAAAAGGGGCACGAGGGACTGAGGGGCAGAGACCTGTGCTGTTCCTACTGCCTCTGCGGAGAAAAATGTGTGATGCTCTTGTCAAGGAAAACTGAAAAGCCATTTTCTCTTTCCCTTTTTCTCTCTCCTGGGTTACTTGAGACTGGCTAGATGTGGAGCCATCTGTATTTCTACTTTGTTAAAGACGCTGATAAGCCAGCTGTGTTTTTCTGAGGGAAAGTTATTATTTTATTACTATTGGAAACCACTTGGTTTGTCTCTGGTAGGTTATTTTGCCTTTCAAAATAAAAATGCTTGTATTTTGGGTTGTTGAACTACTTCCTTAAGGTCTGTTGTACATTGGCATGGGACATCAACCTTTCATCACTGGTTTAATGCTTTTAAAGTTATTTGATAACTTTCTGTGTGTACTTACTGATTCCTTTGGGGCTCCTGTGAACTTACTGTTGTGAAACATTTCTGATCTTACCAACACTGAGACAAGTTACATGACATGACTGAGAGCTCATCACCATGTCTAATCTGCTGCACAGTACAAATGACAGATGGTTATTAAGCAATGATGCTGAGTAGGATTTCTTTGGTTCAGTCTTGAAGATTGCTCTACATACGCTTTTTTCTGCATAATTTATTTTCTGTAAATGATGTAAAAAGAAAATTCAAAAGCAACTAATATAAGTGAGTTGCAAGTGGATAAAAGCAAAGTATGCTATATGAAAGTGTTAAATAACCCAAACAGCTAAACAGAAAGGAGGTCTCTGAGTGATTTGGGGGGTAATTCAATGCATTTATTAATTAGCAGAAAAGAGTTTTTTGTCTTTTTTGCTGGTAAGCAAAGATACAGTTGTTGCTTTTGTCTTCATAGCGGTTGGAACTCAGATAATCTACTGAATGTCTTATTGCATGTTTTCTGCTTTGGTCCTGCATTATTTTATTCTTAAAAAATGTCAGGAATTATTACCTAGAGGCTTTCAGTTATAGCTTGTGGCTTGCTTGTCTCTGTCATGTAATAACAAAAGCTTAGCTCAATTTGTCTGTTATTCTCAGTTATCCAGGCATTTAGATACTACTTTAATGGGGGGGGGGGGGGGGGGTCC